ATGAGGTATTGAAGCAGGTTCTCTTTGATATCAAATATTGTTCTGTTTAGTAACAGGGGTAAGGACCTATTTAGTATCAGGTGATGTTCCGTTTGGTACCAGGCAACGCTCTGTTTGGGGCTGGGTAATGTTCTGTCATGTACCGGGAGAAATTGTGTAAAGCACCTGACAGGTTTTGAAAGGCATCAGGTCAACTTTTGATTGGAAACAGAACGAGAGAAATATTTATTACTTAGGGTTCTTCTTTGCAAAGTATTGCTTTCGGAGGCAATCATCTGTCCTGTGACAGTAGTACTACACTAGGGATCCTGTCAGATGGAGTGTGGAAGAAACCATGTTACCATGAAAATACATGGCAAAGATAGATAGTAGATCTTAATATATAATATGTGAGCGCCGGTAAAGAAGAGTAGTTAGTTTACAAATTTATAATTAGAGTTGCTCAATAACCCATACAGGCTTAGGCTGATCTTGTGAATAACAATAACATGCAAAGAAGAGCACTTTTAATGAGTTGATATAGCTTCCATCTCGAGTGGTCCCACGTACCTAGATACGACGTAATGTTTAGTATTTCTAAATTTGTAACAAGCGATTATTTGACCTATTCTGTCAGGTGTATAAACCCCAAAAGAGCAGACAGTTGCCCTCACGTATGTCGAAGAACTTGAGCATAAGTCTGGTTCTCTTGATTAGTGTGCTTAAGGGGAATAATTTTGTGGATTCGAAAGGTATAATCTTTATGTTGGTTATTATGTTGGTAGTTTATCTAGCCAGGTGAAGAAACTAAGCACTGGTCTGTTAAGAGATGGCCTGTTCAGAGGCTTCGTACCTATGGGAAAGAGAAGAGGAGGGGAAAGACTGTGGTCTAAAGTCTGTGGTGTAGCGAAAACTATATTGCATACCACGGTGGCAGGGACCACTAATATACTCGTGTTGAGTTGATTTTAGAAAGACTCATCTAGGCAGTGACCTGACCTCTGTCTATTGTATTCTTAATTCGTGATCTGACACGTTGAAGGACTTTTTGTTTTGCGCCTCCTGAGCGGTTATTTGAGTGTGGAGCCGCAGCTCATGGTGTGAGCGGTAGTGTAAAATAAGAGGATTACAGAGGTCACAGATGAGCTTTGTCAGACCCCAGCGAGTAGAGATGAAGATCCAGGAGTCTCTGCACTGGACCCACCATAAGCTAGCAGTGCATTGTTTGCCACCACCCATTACCCACAACATTTCCACCACTACCACCCATCATCCACCATCAATGCCACTGATAACCACGACCACCATCACCCATCTAATCATCCATGAGCACCCATCACCCATCCCCACTACTGTCTATCACCATCACCACAACAAATTACGATCACCAACCACCACCACTAAGAAATATCACCATCACTACTAACCATGACTATTATCACCACCACCCGTTCCCTCATATTCACCATTTCTCACACTGGCACACCTTTGTGGGTTTTGCAGCGTCTCCTAAACATCTCTAATCACTTTTTTCCTTGCACTCCCTTCTCCTCCTCCACTTCTTGCTTCGTGGTACTTACCACTCTTGACTAACCTCTGTAATCTTTTCATTCGTATGTATTTTTTTTCCTCTGGATTGTTGTCTATGGCCCCTTGTAAGTATTTCTGTATAAATAAAGGTATTTTAAACATGTCTTTTTTTTTGATCTCCACTGGATTCCTTGGGGATATAATTCTACACACACACATAGAAAGAAACTTACGACGACGTTTCGGTCCAACTTAGACTATTAACTAGTCACACTGTGACAAGTTAATGGTCCAAGTCGGACCGAAACGTCGTTATAAGTTTCTATGCGGGTTATTTGTGCATTGTTCAAGTCAAAGTATTATGCCTTTTTGCTCTCATTTCTAATTCTAGTTTATTTATTTACATTGTTAACCTGTGTTGGTCATCTAGGGCAAGAAGCGGTAAGATAAGATTTGTTCGGATTTTTCACCCGGGGGAAGGGGGGAGTTAGACACCCAGGATAACCCAAGAAAGTCAGTGCGTCACCGAGGACTGTCTATTTCCATAGTGGTCCTTCAGTCTTGTTCTCCAGGATGCGACCCACACCAGTCGACTGATACCCAAGTACTTTCAAAGACCACAACGAAGTATCTACCGCATCTGCTAAGAAAATGATTGAACATTAAAATGGTATAAAATACCGACAGGTTGTTAGGTGAGACACATATGCAACAGTTAGGTATCTTTATTATGAAACGTTTCGCCTACACAGTAGGCTTCTTCAGTCAAGTACAGAAAAGTTGATAGAAGCAGAAGATACTTGAAGACGATGTAATCAGTCCATCACCCTTAAAGTTTTGAGGTGGTCAGTCCCTCAGTCTGGAGGAGAGCATTGTTCCATTGTTTCATACTATGGAACAATGCTCTCCTCCAGACTGAGGGACTGACCACCTCAAAACTTTAAGGGTGATGGACTGATTACATCGTCTTCAAGTATCTTCTGCTTCTATC